TTGCACTAAACTCTCAGCATGTTTTCAGTAAAAAACAAAGTATTTCTTTATTTGATGCACATTAATGCGGAAATCAAAAATCATTCAAAGTGAATATTCTTCGCAAATTTATCACAGTTTTAATTCTAAAATAATTTATTTCATAACATTTATCTTGGTGCCGAATCAATGCAACTTTTTACAGTTTAGTTTAATGTTGTTAGTGTAAAAACTATGTAAATATTTTCTCTCCCTTATTCGTAAGTTATCATCAACTGAATCATTTGGGAAAATATTTTAGAAAATAAAATTGTCATGTGATTTCATTTGGGAAATCCACTTGACACTGAATTGAAGTGAAAACGATAGTCGCCCAAAAATTACCTGCACCTGCTTTTACAACACTCTTTACACGTGTACATATATGCCCGCCAAAGTAGAAAACAGGCAAAAAGACTTGAAGCAAATATTTGTAACACATATTTTGCATGTTTAGACCAGTTTACAATATTACTTTTATAAGTGCGTGTATATTTTCCCAAGAAATGTGATATAAGAAAATAATAGTCATTTATCATAATAAATTTTCAGAATCTAAATTCCTATACCTATGTATACATGTGTATAGAATGCATCTACCTGTTACTTGCAGGTACCAAATCATTTATAATTTCACGACAACAATGAAATGACGTGGATAAGCACATAGTTCTGACAATCATAATAATTTACAAATGCTCAATGATGCACAGTTAGACATTTTTACATACCATTATATGTTATTTTGGTTTTTGGTTGATATATGTGGATATAATACCTGCCAAGACCGGCTCGGGCGATATTTTATCCTCGCAGGTAATATGTCCAAATATATCACTCAAAAACCAAAATAATAATTTTATTACCCTCCCCCAGCCGAGTACGACGATTTTAAAATAAATCAATTTGCTATTTTAAACGTCAAGAAAAGATTCCCTTCAAGGCAAAATGACGTCATCGGAGCGCAAAATCGAATCGAATGCGCATCGTCACAGCGCATATAGTTCACAACGTGGGGTATCCAAAGAGAATATTTGATGTGTATATTACCCGTCTTTGTACAGACTCAATCAAACCGAGTCTGCAATTCTTCTGTTATTTTGTTGTGATTATTGCTTCCGAGGGATCACTTTGTTTCCGGAATTTTGTACTTCACAACAGCAGGTGTCAAGTGCCGTGTGGCAGCTGTAAAAAGTTGCCCCGTACTTCACTTCAGTGTTGTTATATTTTCTGGTCCTTCGGGATCATTGATGCCAGCACTATTAAGTGTTGAGAATTGAGTACCGCTCAAGCCGGTGCTAGGAGGCGTGAGGGATGTTGCACTTAATCATTTTCCCTCATGTACAGACTCAATCAAACCAGGTCTGCAATTCTTCAGTTATTTTGTTGTGATTAATGCTTCCGAGGGATCACTTTGTTTCCGGAATTTTGCTAGGTAATATCAATTTCCTTCGGCGGATCAATATCCAATCAAAAATACGGAAAAAATCTTGAAAGGTAATAAAACAATATATAACAGTATATAAACATGTACTAATTGATATATGAATTTACTTATTTAGGTGGACCATTACCTGATAAATTGTTATAATTTTACTCGTCAACTTCTAGAATTACATTACTACATGTATTTGTTTACATGTTAAGTTATTTTAAGAGAAGCTAAGAGCGAAATTTATCCGCATCCATTCTGTGTATTCTTACTGTGTTATAGTTCCTCTCCGATAAGATATGATTGTTAATTTTATTAACGAACCTGGCGCCGGATGAATATATTTGTCTGTCAAACATAACGTATCATAGTACATTATTTCAGGACATTCCTACCACCTTGATTAAACTTTTTAAAGTGAGAGTTTGATCAACGTTGTTGGGAAAATTTGTTATATATTTCAAAAGGTTGAATATCTTAATGCCGATCGAACATAATTGATAATCACAAATATATGTTTCAATAATCTTATAGCTTCCTTATGTCTTTCATTTTCAGCAAGGAAAAACATTGTTTAACAATGTTTAAATAACGGAATAATAGTATGTTAGATGCTTATAATTGCTAGGAAAAGTGCTGAATGTGAAATAATTTGTTATAAATAAGCAAAATAAAAACAAAGTGGCATTTTGACTTTCATACAAAATACTTAATCACTATAACTGTATTAAAAACCACGGCTTCAAGGTCTTTTTATGTCCAAAGAGCTGTGATAGTTAAAACTTCTATAAGAGCCTTTCACACGTTTTACATAGAATTCACCAGGTATTTCTTGAATATAAAAACACTTTATAATGATTCAAAGACTATCATGATACATATATAGTAAAAGATAAAATTAATGTCGAGATTTAAAGTAGCTGGGGCAGTGACAAAACATTTGGAGCATCCCTCGTAAATTTCCGTATTGAATAAACAACCATTTGCTAACCACTTTGAACCAACAAGTAACTTCTATATCAACCATCGATTTCCAATAGCAACCAGTAACCATATCATGACTTTTAAAGCAACCATTGACTCTGCATAACTAAAAGTGACCTCTACATCAATGCTTAATCTTCCTTAGCAGCGAGGGACATTTTACTTGTAAACTTTAACAGATCTGAACTTTGATATTACAGCAACAGTTGATCTTCCCTAACAACTAGGGTCAGTTTACCTGTAAACTTAATGCAGATTTGAACTAAGATATCAATCAGGTGACACATATTTTGAAATAATTCCTGCTTATTATTCATAGTTGTCAATATTTATTGTTCATTGTCATGTAGCGCCTTCATATTCAAGTGTGTTATATAGGAGACACTATGGTCCCTTTGTTTTTATTTAAGTTTTCTATTATACTGACTTTCAGCCACAGGAAATCGTTTTCTTTAGGTCAGATTTCTTTATTGTAACATGGCCGGCAATAAGCTGAAGAAGTGCAGGGAAAACCGTATGATTTAATGGGACATCAGGTGTTTGTACGAATATGTAATGTTTACAAGTATGAACATTATTATAGACACTGACACTGCATTCTTTCCTTAAGAAAATGAACTGTTTCATAAGTGTCGAGGATAAAAGTCATTTCGGTATTTGCATTTCAAAAAAGGTATATGTAAATCCTGTGATCAGCAGAACATTTCAGTGAAAGGAGGGGGGGGGGGTAATCCTCTTTGGGGATATTTTGCGTAACATTTTGCCGGACAATCCTATATAACAAGATCAATTTAATATGTCACGCATGTTATTCTAGAAAATTCGCATCTATAGCATGAATACTCAAATTTAAGGTTGGTTTAGTGGTCATTTCTTATTATGTAAGGCTATGGGAAAATTAGTACAGTAGTCTGACCTATCTGACCTACACGATAATGCAAACATTATGAGGTGGTCACGACTTTAAGTGACGCTGGACGAGTCATTTGTTGGTGACATAAAATTCAGGTATTTCAGTGTACATAGATTTTCAAAAAAATATATATATATATTATAAAACAAAAAAAATTGTTGTTTTTATTTTACACTTTGAGATCATCTGTTTTTTAGTTTTTAGTGTTAGAAATAATTTCTAAATCTCTAAACCTCTAATGTCTTAGTCTGCCATATTGTTATAGTTCTCCTCCATATCTCTTAAAATATTTTAAAGAAAGAAAAACATTGCTTAACACATCCTGTCCACCATTTCGTCAAATGACTTTTAATACATTATTAACTATGTGATCAAATCAACAACCTCTAAAATAATTACACCCTTGAACTTCTGCATACTTCAAATAACAATTCATAATCATCTTATTTGTCGTTGGTAGTGAAATAAACAACACACAATAATGTTGTTTTTAATGAGGCATGGAAAGCGTATATCGTCTAAATCAATAAATAGTTATACAAACTTTTTACCATTATACATGAAGTATCATCGATAGACATAGATTGTGACTAAGTCCGTCCGTTCTGTTCTGGTTGTTCATTTCTGCTTGTTACATATTTAGTTTACCAAATCAGATGTTCATCGTGTAATTATAGCTTTTTTGGGTGCAATTTAAGTTGCACTTTTATAATACATCTAATTACTAAATATAACTAAAACTATGTTTGGTTATTTGTATATAGACTAGTAAAAGAAATAATGACGTCAAAATTGAATGTAGCCGGGGCAGTGACAAAACATTTGGATCATCCCACGTAAATTACCATACTGAATATAAAAGTTTCTATACATGAGTGATGTATTTATTATCGGAAACTTAGTATTTCTTTATAAGGCAGTAGTCGGAAGGTATGTATTTTTGGCGGCAATAGTGCACGAGTTTCTTGTAATTAGTACAGCGGGCATTCGAGGTTTATTTGTCAAGCCGTTAAGATGTGACATTTCCGAAAATATTGAAATATTTTCGATTATATAATACAGAAAGTTTCTTTTTCAGCATTATGTACAGCTCGGAGCAAAGTAAACATGTGTCTTTATACGCAAAATAAATAATATCAATGGACTTTCAAAATCGATGAGGCATTTTCATTTAATTCCGTTTTGATTCACTGTGAATTATTTTGTTTCCTTTTTCCATTATGTCATAAAATTTAAGACCACTGAATTTGGGTTTTATGTCAGGTAGGTTCGAAGGAGCCGCTGGTCTTGAGCCTGGATTCATCATTCAACAATTCCCCCCCCCCTTCCCACGTTGGAGTAGGGTTGGGTATCCCGCTCGCAGCAACCTGACTTTTCGAACATTTTCAAAAACTTCTGTTTTTACAAAACTCTCTTTGAAAGTTTATATTTCTTTATACAAGTATTTGGCATATTTTAACAGATGAATTTGCTTAGAAAATTTATTACTATAAGTCATATGGAAGCTTTTTTGGACGTTTGTCTTAACAAAAATTGATATGTAGATTTATATTCAGAATGTTGTCTTTGTTGGTTGGGAAAATAAACGGTTAGTGGAGACGGCTTACAAATACTCACTCTAGTCTCTTTAAACTCTGTGTTGTGTTGTTTATTATTTCAAAGGTGTATTATTAAAGAATGTAAATGATTTATGTTCGTTTGAGTGTAACGAATAAGAGCATAACTTTGTATAAACTAAGATAGATTTAAAAACTTGAATTGTTACCAATAAGATATAACCTAGACGGATATATGTACAACCGCAGACTCGGATATAAAATGTTTGCACATTTCTGCTTTGTAGGAATTGTTTTTTGTATTAAGAATGCGGCTTGTGATTCAGGTAATGTTGAGCCGGGTCAATGTGTGTCGAGATTTGATTATGATTATAAAGTGCTGGAGAAATTATCTCAGTTTGAAAGAGAAATTAAGGAGCTAAAGCAAAAGGACATGTGTGAAGGTTGGTCATCATTTTTCATTTTATTCACAAATCTTATTATAAAATGTATAAGTTGTATCAGCATTTCATTTCTTTAGTTTTGGATACGCATATGATCAAGCAATCCTCACGTTGTAATTATACCTTTATTTTTCAGACTTGTTTAGATGACAGGTGTCAAGTGTCGTGCAACAGCTGCAAAAAGTTGCCCGGTGTTGCTATATTTTTCTGGTCCTTCGGGACCATTGATTCCAACACTTTTTAGTATTGCTCAAGCCAGTGCTAGGCGACGAGAGGGACGTTGTACCTTTTAATTACATCTGATTTACAGACTCATTCAATCCGAGACTGTAAATTGTCGTGTAATTTTGTTGTCACACTTTATTCAGACTTTTAGTTCAAATTACAATTTTGCTATTGTTTGAACTAGATCCATACCTTTCGATATATATCGATGTGTCATAAAATTTCCATTGATCGTCTGCCATTCAAAACTTGTTTTAGAGTGTACAGAAGATCTACAGATGGTAGAACGATGGAAATAACATAAATAATGAAAATCCCATTACGTGTTTGATTTAGCCTGTTCATGGCAGATTTTTTTCACGATTCCAGCACCGGCTTATTCCGCTACCTGATTTCAATAATCTGCCGAAAGGATCTGTTTTCCTATAATCTATGTATTTGTTTTTATTCTAGATAGTCAAAAGGTTGCGTTTATGGCACAGCTATCAGGTACGCTCATTAACCCGGCAGTGAATACTGTAGTTGTTTTTGATAGAGTCAGTACAAATGCTGGAAATGGATACAATTCTGGATCAGGAATGTTTGTCGCCCCAGTGAAAGGCTTATACAGCATACATCTAGTTGCAAGCTCAAGATCAAAAGCAACAACCAATTATGTAAGTTTGAGACATCATGGTTTTTTACAGTCTTAAAAATGATGCTTGCCTTTACATTATGCCTTTTTCGATGACTATAATATACAGTATAGAATGTAAAGAAAATTGTTAAGGACAGGAAGTTTCTTTTTTTCTTTTGTTCAATATTTTTTGCCCGTTTAAATTGTTAATAAGCAGTCCTTCGCAACTATCTTAAACATTAAAACTTAAATTGCTTTTATAACAAGGGTATACAACACAGTTTTTGTAACAAATACTACACTGACAGCATATGTTTCATTCGTACTATATCAGATAATTATTGTATATCTAAAATCGAATGAACATATGTTTCTTTTTAGCTTCATCTGTACATTATGCACAATTCCTCTCAAGTTGGTTATATTTTCCTTGACCAGAATTCTGACTACTCACTGATGAGATCAACCGCTATCATACTTCAACTTAGCATTGGCGACACGGTGTTTGTTAAGATCGGAAACACAGGAGCAAGGGGCCACCTGGTAGGCTGTTGTTTCCATACGGTTTTCAGTGGATTTTTAATCAATTGACGTTTTCTCGATTATAAGCAATCAAACAGACTATGTCACAATACAGACTATTGTAAGATGTAATACAAAGTTGTTGACGAATATGCTTCAATTAAGAAAAATAATATGAAATATAAACGTGGAAAAACTGTGCCCTATAAGAGCTTAATTTGCAAACAACTCTGCGTTTGAGAAATACCTTATGGTATAATTGATTTCTGACAGCAAAAAGTAATTGATACATAACATTCATGGAAACAATCAATATTCAATTGGAGTAATAGTCGTTTTGTTTAGAATAATTAGAATAAAACTTTTTTTATGATTTACCAATAAAACTCACTAAAAACAGAAACTCATTTATTTTTTCTCAGGACCACCGTTAGTTAAAACCTTTTTATGTTTTTGAGAGCATTACTGATTTATCCGTGAACATTTTATTTGATAATTTCACAGTTCTACCGTTCTACCTTTAGTGTTTGTATAAGCTCAAGGATATATGCTGCTATAGGTATATTTTAATTCCCGAGTCCCAAGCTCAAATTCCCTGAAAATATTCATCGCTTCAATGAGTTTACTATTCGGCAGGATAACGCCCTGATAAAGTCACTTACTCTTTGTCTCATAGCATGGAAAATAGAACAAAATTGTGTGTAATGACTTGGATGTTGAATGACATGATCCTTAACGTTATTAGATGCAAACTTTATTGAGAAGAGAACCGTGGAGATGGTAATAGAACACACTAAATCTGTCCCAAATATGAAGACAACATTGTCTTTTTGATATATCGTTTGTTGTTTGCTTAAAATAGTGTTTTTATAAAACACTTGTCTTGCGAAGGTATGAATGTCTAGTCAGATGTGAAAGTGTTGTTGACAAATTGTTATAGTAATAGTTATTCGCCATCTTGTTGCTTTTGAAAGGTTTCTGATAGATACACGCAGTAACGTTTCTTATGTCATATCATAGCTCACGCTTATTCATTTTGGCATTCACTATCTTTATCCGTCATTCATGAGTAAGTAAATGTCATTTATTCATCCGAACATTCTGAAAAGCCATTTGTTATTTGAAAATATTATGAACTCCCATATTGACTTTACCGTAGAGAAGGAAACTGTGTGTTTTAATATTATATCATATTATGTATTAATACAATAAGTAGTTTAATGTTCAATGTCTTTTCCATATTATGTTTTTAAGATGATATAAATATCAGACGAGATTTTCCATTAATCTTGAATGTACGTTACAGAATAAGGACATTTTAATTCCGTTTAAGTAAGAAAACAATAGCAAAACAAATCTTGCTAGAAGAATCAAACAACAAATTCACTGTGTGTGGTCGCTCCGCGTTGGAACACCACTTCGTACTGTAAGTGAGGTTAATGATGTAAGTGGGGACGCCATCACCCTCTTAAACTCATTCCTGAACAAAGACCCTGTCAAACAATAAAGGAGAAAATTTAGACTGTAGTTACTCCAATATACAACTCACGATCACGCTAAATAGTTGGTACTTCGCTAAGGTATGCTCATCAACAGTTTTGCCTAACTCAATCACGTTTAAGTAAACACCATAAGGGACAGTTGTCACAAGGAAAACGGTGCAGAGGGTGAAAAACATTTTGTAATTAGATTTATTTCTAGACGGCTGCCGGGTCATGTCGACAACAACTCCTTCACTGCTGTGTTGCACACGACGAAGTGCTCTTCTACTCTTTATCAAGGAAATTGCTACAATGACGTTTCCTAAAACAATGAGTGCAAAGGGTACAATAGAGCCGATGATAAGAAGCAGTTTTCTCCATACGAAGTTATAGAATTCTAAATACTTCCCTGGACGCAAAGAACACATTTGGATAAGTTTCATACGTGTCACATTATTTCCTGCAATGTTAACCCGTCTTTCCATTAAGACACGGCCGTAAATTAAATGTCCGTTTAGTAACATGACGATTATTACCAAAGTGATACAGATAATTACTGCATTTCTAGATGTCATCCTAGGTTTGGCTATAAATGGAAATAATGTGACAAAAGCTCTTTCAGCTGTGATCAAAACAATGGTCCAGTTAGAAGTCATTCCAGACGTGTGCACTATCCATCCAGTAACTAAGCAACTGAAAGAAGACGCCGTCCTCGTATCAATACTAAACACGGCCTTGACGGTTTTATTCAAAGATGCCGAACATAACAATGTTGTGTCACACACAGATAAGACAATGAAATACACGCATGTTGATTTCTAACGAAGTTTACGCGTGAAAAATATAATCAAACTAAGAATGTTTCCTAAAACACCAATAACAATTAAAGTAATTGGAACGAGTTTCCAAATCCAAGAGGCTATGTAGCACTCTAAAAAGCCTGATTGTCCACATTGAAAGCAAACAAGGTTGTCGTTCGTAAGCTTCGGCATTATGAATTCAAAGCTAATGTGTTGTTAGATGTTACTAAATTGTCAACAAGTTAAAAAAATATTGTTTGTTCTGAAAGTGTTATAGAAACGGAACCAAAATCTCTTAACATTTACGGCAAGGAATGAGAGCCCTTTTATATCTTACCATTCTTACTTTTTTTCCAATAGTTTTTGTAACATAGGAGAAATACTCTCAAATCGGAAAATATTTAATACTATATTGTACTAAACTCTCAGAATGTTTTCAGTAAAGGATAAATTATTTTGTTTAATTTGATATACATTAATGCGGCAATGAAACATTATTCAAGTTATTATTCTTCGCCCATTAATCACAGTTAAAATCATTTTTTACTATTGAAAAAGACCAAAAAACTGAAAACAGTTTTAATTCAAGTATGTTTATGTAAATGCATTTTCTTTTCCCACTTCGTACTTTATCATCAACTGAATCAGTTGGAAAAAAAGATTATGGGAAATCAAATGATTATGTACGTCCTTTTGGAAAATCCATTTGATGTTGAATTGAAGTGGAAACAATAAATGCCCAAAACATACCTGCACCTGATTCTACAAGTCACTTTATACATGTACACTTAACACATGTACATATATGCCTACCACCGGCAAAATGTTAGCAGTAGCAGTAGCAACATTATGAAACGCAAAGTTCGCAGTAGTAGAAGCAAAGCTGTAGCAGTAGCAAAATTATAAAACGTGAACTTTGCAGAAGCACACCAGTAGCAGTAGCAAAATGATAAAACGTGAAATTAGCAGAAGCAGTAGCTCACTAGTGACAGTAGCAAAATTATAACTAATTTAAAACATGAAAACATGAAAAGTAGCACAGCAGTAGCATTAGCAAAATTATAAAACGTGGAAATGGCAGTAGCAGGAGCAAAAATATGAAAAGTGAAATTAGCAGTAGCACAACAGTAGCAGTAGCACAGCAGTAGCAGTAGCAAAATTATTAAACGTGACATTGGCAGTAGCACAGCAGTAGCATTAGCAAAATGATGAAATGTGAATTTTGCAGTAGCAGTAGCAAAATTATTAAACGTGAAATTGGCAGTTTACTACATCCAGTTTGTGATTCTAAATTGTTAAAGACCGTGTATGTTGTAATTGACATTACGCAGCCTGTCAATCAAGTTGGCAGGGGTGTTACAGATAAACCAATCGGCGATCGTTATCAGTTTCACGCTAAGATGTCTGAGAAGTCCGCCATTTTTCTTAGACAAGCGTTTTGTATAAGACAATGGTGCAGCAGTATTTATATTGAAATTATCAATTTCCTGGTTGGGGACCACCAAAACCGGACAACCACCAAACCCGGACGGTCCCGAAAATGCCTAATTTAGTATTTTCTTTGTTCAATGGTTGTAAGTCACTTTTTTATCAACAATAAATGCATGTTTTTTTCTAAAATTAAGTAAATAAATTTATTTCAATCTCCGTAAAAGGTAATATTTTAATGTCTATTTCAAGAATGTTGACGTTGAAATTTGGGGGTCAAGAAAGAAATGCCTGACCTCATATACCAGCCATAATCATTCGCAGAGTAAACAATAGAATATCCAAAACTTCAGCATTTGTTGCTGAAATATTGTACATCATGTTAAAAATCAAAAATAAAAACACCCAAGCTTTTTATCATGGTACTGTAGTGTAGACAATTTAGGTAATTTTGATACCCTCCTTGTCAAGCCTCAAATATAAGTGTCAATACAATCAGAAATAAACAAACTAGTGTGTTAGTAAGGAGAAGAACCTAGCTGAACTGTGTCAAATTTTAATATCTCTAGGTTTAAAATTTTAAAATCTGTACGGAAAAATGTTCAAAAAGTGTCCGGTTGATGGTCCCCAACCAGTAAAGCTATTTAAACGGTTTATCTAAGTTACGAAATATCCTGACATATTAACAGATGGAGTCAGTTCATTTTACAAAAACAAAACTATTAGTAACTTTCTATATATGAAGATAATAAGTTATATAGCAGGTACGAAAGTTAAAACTGGCTATACCACATTCCATTAAACAAGGAAAAAGTTTAAACAAATACTCTATTCCTTCCTTCATTACAATTATGTCAATTCATAATCACATAATATATTAAAAGGTCTCAGAATATCGTGTCAAAATCCTGCAGTAGAAAGAAAAACTTGCAAATATAATGAGAGAATATGTAATAAATATTTTAGGTGAAGTTATCCTATCTAAATATTTCTATTAAAGCTATATGAATTAAGATTAAATATTAAGATACATCTGCTTCAATAACACCTTATCTGATAACAGTTTTAATTTAAAGCCGAGGTCTGGTATATTCGAAACTTATTTTGAAGTGAATAATATTGTGTTTTATCACGAAAATATCTAATGTACAAATATACATATAATCATATATCATACAACAAAGTTACGCATGGGCAATTTTCTCATTTAATTTTGACAATTTATGCACAAATGCATTACATACGTATAAGTGATTTCGCACATAAAACCACAAAACCATTTGTTAATGTTACTGTTTCATTGATATAATTTTACTTTTATATGTTCCGCTACATCAATTTTAACTATCTTTGAATTTGTACACTAAAATGATATTTTGTCAGTAACATCTTCCTTGAAGTCAGCGAGATATATAACAAGATCTTTGCCTAACGTTTTATTCATCATTAATGCGTGAATGCAGTTATTTATTACTTTTTTGAATACCATAATACATTGAACTATTCAATAAAAGCATTACAATTTTATATATACCAAATTATATAACATACATTCATTAGTCACTTAAGCGGCATGACAGTTTCGCGTAAACGTCGGCACTGTCTTTTGTCTAAGGTTCTGAATGACCGTGTCACGTAAATTAGTGGGCGGAGCAATCTCTGTTCTGGCGTAATGTCAATTAAGGTTGTTACCAATCAGTAGTCTATGATTAATGAGGGTCCATCCGCGAGTAAGGGCACACAATGTAGCTTCCGCTGCCGATTACGGACCCCGGACATGTCACCAGTCAGGCCCTTAAAGAGTTAATTTCAAATTACAATGTGGTGATAATTCACCTCCATGCAATTTCCACGGAGTATTAGCCATATATATGAATTTTGACCCAAAAGAAGGTCACTGTACGGCGGTCAATGAGAACCTAAATGTACAGTAACCTGCGGCAAATTGAAAGGGTAGCTCTTTCAAGAGCTGTTGGTGCCAGCAAAAGGTCTGCCGTTTAAGCCGTCTAACCGTGCTAGGGGCTCACGCACCCTAGCACACCATCCTCGTCGACCCAAAGCCTACTTTGTAGGGTTACTCCCCTCGGCTTTAGTCAGGACATCGGCAGCTGATACGCAGCACAAGTTCCGATCATTTTCGCCGTCCCCAGTGTCGATGCCTGTGTCTTCTCAACAACGTACAGGTACCGAGGGGAAGAGAGAAGTTGTTACCACATTTAAGTAAATTTATTTTACATGTATATAACTATGCATCTAAAACAATTTTCTAAACATCAAAGAATATGTAGCATATGTACTGTAAATAGTTGTCCACATTATATGTAATCAGTTAAATATATGCATTCCTTTCTTATTGAAAAAATTGAATTAGACTTAACTTTTAAATTAACTTTCTGATTACCTCTCTTTATTAACATGAAATGTAAATTCGGTAATATGTTAACAAATAATGTTTTTTTGAACTTACAATATTGATAAATCTTCATTTGAGCATTATATTTATGATATGAAACCATAAGAAAATGAGTTACAGGATCTTTAATTTCTTTTGTAGTTGATGTTGAATAACAAAATATGTACACTTAAAATCCTCATATTGTGGAAGTTGTAATACGTGTGAAATTTAATTGTTGAAAATATATTATTCATGTCACTGTTCAGCTATTTCTGTGCTATGCTACGGCCACTACTACTACTGCATTGCTATTGCTACTGATGCACTTCTACTACTACTACTGCCACTGTCACTGACACCATTACTGTCACTACCACTAATACTGCCACAGCCACTCCACTGCTTCTGCCATTGCCACTGCTTCTGCTACTGCTTCCCCATACAGGTACTGTTACTGCCATTGCTATTGCTACTGCTTTGTTTTTGCAACTACTACTGTCACTGCTAATCAAAATGCCACTGCCACTGCTATTGCTTCTGCTACTGCCACTGCCACTGTCACGTCTACTACTAATTACTTCTACTGCCACTGCTACTGCCACTGCTACTACTAATTACTGCTACTGCCACTGCTACTGTTACTGCCACTGCTACTGCTACTTCTGTGCTATTGCTACTGTTGTGCTGTTGCTCTTGACACTGGTACTGCCACTGCTACTGATGTGCTATTGCTACTGCTGTGATTTTGCTACTGCTACTGCCACTGCTATTAATACTGTCACTGCTACTGTCAACGTCACTGCTACTTCTACTGCAAATGCTGCTGCTGCGCTACTGCTACTGCTGTGCTACTGCTACTGCCAACTTCACGTTTAATAACTTTGCTACTGCTGTGTTACTGCTTACTTCATGTTTCCTTCTGCTGCTACTGCTTCTGCCTACTTCTCATACATACCAAAGAAGGAAATAGGCAAAAAGAATTTAAGCAAATAATGTAACATATCTTTTGCATTCCTAGACAAGTTTACAACTTTATATTATCAAAATATGTTTCAAAAGATTTCGTGAAAGAAAGATTTATGATCATTTTGAAAATAAATTTTGAGAATCTTAATTCCTTTACCTATGTAAACATGTCTGCCTACCAAATATACTACTCAACTTTTGCTAAGCAACATATGTTTGAATGTGATTTTTTTTGGGATAATTTTATTAACCCCTTGCAAAAGGTTTTAAATGTTAATTTACTGTTTTATCAATTCAGCTGAAGGACGAATTTAACCCTATATAAGGTATGGAAAGCGTTTAACGTCTGAATCAATAAACAGTTATGCAAGCTTTTTACCATTATAGTAACATCACTGATTAATTCCGTCCGTTCTGTTCGGGTCGTTCATTTCTGTTTGTTAGATTCTTAGTTTACAATATCAGTATCATTTTATGTTCACCGTGTAAATATATTTTTTTGTTATAACACATACATTACTTTGTCCCAGAAGATGTTAACTATTTTTTAGATCGTCGACATTGAGTGCAATTTAAAGTTGAACTTTTATTATACATCTAATTATACATCTAATTGCTAAATATAACTAAAATTATGTTTGTTATTTGTATATGGTAAATGAAAAATTGACGTCGAGATAAAATGTAGCCGGGGCTGTGACAAAACATATGGATCATCCCTCGTAAATTACCGTGCTGAATATAAAACGTTCTATACATAAGTGGTTTGTATAAACTACGATAGATTTAACAACTTGAATTGTTACCAAAACGATATAACCTAGACGGATATATGTACAACCACAGAATCGGATATAAAATGTTTGCACATTTCTGCTTTGTAGGAATTGTTTTTTGTATTAAGAATGCGGCTTGTGATTTAGGTAATGTTGAGCCGGTTCAATGTGTGTCGAGATTTGATTATAATTATAAAGTGCTGGAGAAATTATCTCAGTTTGAAAGAGAAATTAAGGAGCTAAAACAAATGAAAATGTTTGAAGGTTGGTCATCATTTTTTATTCACAAATCTTATTATAAAATGTATAAGATGTATCAGCATTTCATTTCTTTAGTTTTGGAGTACGCATATGATCAAGCAAGCCTCACGTTATAATTATACTTTTATTTTTCAGACTTGTTTAGATGACAGGTGTCAAGTGTCGTGCAACAGCTGGTGTTGCTATATTTTTCTGGTCCTTCGGGACCATTGATTCCAACACTTTTTAGAGTTAAAATTGAGTATTGCTCAAGCCAGTGCTAGGCGATGAGAGGGACGTTGTACCTTTTCATTATATTTGATGTACAGACTCATTCAATCCGAGTCTGTAAATTTTCGTGTAATTTTGTTGTCACACTTCATTCAGAATTTTAGTTCAAATTACAATTTTGCTATTGTTTGAACTAGATACATACCTATCGATTTATATCGATGTGTCATAAAATTTCCATTGATCGTCTGCCATTCAAAACTTTTTTTAGAGTGTACAGAAGATCTACAGATTTTAGAACGATGGCAATAACATAAATAACGAAAATCCCATTACGTGTTTGATTTAGACTGTTTATTGCAGACATATGTCACGATTCCAGCACCGGCTTAGTCTGATTTCAATAATCTGCCGAAAGGATCTGTTTTCCTATAATCTATGTATTTGCTTTATTCTAGATAGTCAAAAGGTTGCGTTTATTGCACAGCTATCAGTTTCTCTCATTAACCCGGCAGTGAATACTGTAGTTGTTTTTGATAGAGTCAGTACAAATGCTGGAAATGGATACAATTCTGGATCAGGGATGTTTGTCGCCCCAGTGAATGGCTTATACAGCATACATCTAGTTGCAAGCTCAAGATCAAAAGCAACAACCAATTATGTAAGTTAGAGACATCATGGTTTTTTACAGTCTTATAAAATGATGCTTGCCTTTACATTATGCCTTTTTCGATGACTATCATATACAGTATAGAATGTAAAGAAAATTGTTAAGAACAGGAAGTTTCTTTTTTTTCTTTTGTTCAATATATTTTGCCCGTTTAAATTGTTAATAAGCAGTCCTTCGAAACTTTCTTAAACATTAAAACTTAAATTGCTTTTATAACAAGGGTATACAACACAGTTTTTGTAACAAATACTACACTTACAGCATATGTTTCATTCGTACTATATCAGATAGTTATTGTATATCTAAAATCAAATAAACAATGAATTTCAATGTAATGTTTCTTTTTAGCTTCATCTATACATCATGCACAATTCCTCTCAAGTTGGTTATATTTTCCTTGACCAGAATTCCGACTACTCACTGATGAGATCAACCGCTATCATACTTCAACTTAGCATTGGCGACACGGTGTTTGTTAAGATCGGAAACAAAGGAGCAAGGGGCCACCTGGAAGGCTGTTGTTTCCATACGGTTTTCAGTGGATTTTTAATCAATTGACGTCTTCTCGATTATAAGCAATCATACGGACTATGTCACAATACAGACTAAAGTATTGTTAGATGTTATACAAAGTTGTTGACGAATATGCTTCAATTAAGAAAAATAATATGAAATATAAACGTGGAAAAACTGTGCCCTATAAGAGCTTCATTTGCAAACAACTCCGTGTTTGAGAAATACCTTATGGTATTTTTGATTTCTGACAGCATGGATTTTTCAATAATCAGCAAAAAGTAATTGATACATAACATTCATGGAAACAATCAATAAACAATTGGAGTAATCGTCGTTTTGTTTAAAATAATTAGAATAAAACTTTTTTATGATTTACCAATAAAACTCACTGGAAACAGAAACTCATTTATTTTTTCTCAGGACCACCGTTAGTTAAAACCTTTTAATGTTACTGAGAGCATTACTGATTTATCCGTGAATATAATATTTGATAATTTCACATTGAAAACAAAGATGTAGATAATGTTATCTATGTATCTTGTGAAAATTATCAAATTAAATATAATTTCACACTTTTCAAAGAAAAAACTCATTTCTAAAGATTTTTCCCATGTGGTACCTGGCTTTTATCTTTGCAGACAAATCCAACATTATCAGGGTTGTTTACAGCAAAGGAAATTTAAAATTCATAAATAACTTAAATTTCAAACGAATTGAAATATGAAACTTACATTAATTCATTCAATTTACCAGTCACCAAATATCGTCTCTAATTTTTCATTTTATTGTAACAGTCTGCAAATTGCCCTCCCATCATTATGGAATAAGGCAATACTGCTCTTTATGTTATTTGATTTTTTTTTAAGAATATGGTCTCCAGTTAATTTGTGTTTATTGAACCAGAGGGATTTGTCCTTTAGTGAATTCTGAGGTAACAAATCACTTCGCAAATTAAATGAAGAACACTATTTGAAAGTAAATCAATCATATTGTTTTGTAACACCTATAAAATATACAAAACTGAATAAATTTTATAATCAATATTGTTGTAAGAAAAATAAAAGATTGTTCTTGTAGGACCATGGTTTGTGTTTTTACTTTCATCAATATGATCTTGAACATACTTAGTTTCAGTATTTCTGCTTGAATACAGTTTTATTGTCCTAAGAATATGTTGTGTGCCTATATAATTTGTATCAATACGCAAGAGTATAACCCTTTTTTTCATTCTATTATGTTCCCCACCTGCAAACACACTTAAGGTCATATTCTGCTTTTCATTGAATGACATGTATAGTCATGTTGATCGTTTCATGTTCACGGTATTATGAACTAATATGAGTACTACGATAATAAAAGATTATGCTTCAACAGGTGCTTATAGGCGTTGCTAGTTGATTGCACTCACAATTACATCGCTAGTTTTGTCGAAATCTCAGCGATGGGATGCCACATAAATAATATCATATTATATTTCATTAATCGTTATGGAAATAACACCAAGTAGGAGAAAATTGCATGATATCTAAAGCAGCTTTATGTAGTACAACATACTTAGTATTCGAAATACAAAACTTGCCAGATGTCTCTATTGTATTTAAGGTCGGTTTTATTTCCTTCTATGAACAAGATATGGAGGATCTTTTGTATAATAACTTAAGACAAGATATAAAGTTATAAACAGGGTAATATACTGAAGAGCATTTGAGCATGGAGAGAATGTTCGCTTCGTTTCAATTAGCGTTTGAAAGGTCAATTTACGATATATAAACATAGTTATGTTTCTTAAAATCCAAACAATAATTTTTGCATCAAATATATAGCTTTATACACTTTAACAGAAGGTTCTGATGTCAAGTCACAAATCTAGTTCTAAATGCCCCCCCCCCCCATCTTTCTCGAGCCGTTTTTCGGGACTCTGTAGACGTTAAAACACGAAAAAATATACGTTTATTCTATAAAATGGTTGGTACGTTTTGTTATCATTTGCCAAATATCTGATATGCATGATCACTTTTTTATAAGTGAATAAAGATCTTCCACGTACCAGTCATTTTAAAACCATATATTACATGACATTTGCGCGGAGGAAGGTAGTCTAGTACAGGTGTAACTCTCCAGGAACGATGGTTAGGAAACTACCCGCCTATATGACTGAAATACTGTTGGAAAAAGGCGTAAAAATGAAACAAACAAACAAACAAACAAACATGACATTTGTGCTATGCTGCTTTGTACTTTATTGTGTCTAACAGCATTTCTACACAGACAAAATGCACTAATCTGTTTTGCTTTGGCAATATGATTACCACCTGTTATATTATAATATTTCTCTCTTGCTCACGTTTGTTTGTATATTATGCAACGAAGGAATTTGTTTATTACTCAACCTCATTTTGAATTTTTTTCATGTAGGGCTAAAATGATAAAGTTTGTCTGTTTGACCGACTAAAGATAATTGAGCATAAAACCGTAATTTATGCAGTTCATTGCACTATTGTAAAATAAAGTCATATAATTTAATCTCAGGAGGACCTATTTCGCAAAATTAGCTTATTCCAGTATCAATTGATGACTTAATGGGAAAGACTGTTTTCATCTTAGTCATAATCACAATTCATAGCAACAATTCTGATTGTATTACAAAATAAAATAAAAGACAATAGATAAGATGAAGAATTGATAACAAAATAATAATTTGGTGTTTATCTTTATATTTTAATCACGTTATTTTGTCAGGTATCATGTATTTTAGTATTTTTACATACAAATTTAAACTTTTGTGCCTATAATATGATCTATACACGGAGCAGGTATCTAAAATGTCAACAAAATAAGAAAGAAAAAAGCGTGAAGCAAGCTCGCTATCGTATATCGATTAGAGCACTGTAACACCGCACTTTGGGGTCAAACGCACTTTGGGGTCCGACCCCAAAGTGCGTTAAACTTCGCACCGCACTTTGGGGTCAAACGCACTTTGGGGTCAAAATCGAGAAATTGACCCCAAAGTGCGTTAATTTGCTACATATCAACGCACTTTGGGTTCCAGAGGTCTAAAGGTGTAATCTGAGTTCTGCTTAAATACTGAGAACTGACTTATTTTCGATCTTCGATATTGAAATATTTGAGGTGGAATTCAAGATGGCGGTCAATACTTTGATGATGCTAAAGTGATAAAAGTTTCATTAATTTTACCACTTAAAATATCCAATAATAATAATAATTTGTTCATATAACAAAATTACGGTGGCATAAAAGTGACATTTGCATTTATTTTTATTTAAGTTTTGCATACATATTTTTATTTAAGTTTTGCAAACATATTTTTTTCAGATTTGCATTCATATTTTTTTTTTTGAGCTTTGCATTCATATTTTATTAAAGTTTTTCGTACATTTTTTATTTTGGTTTTTCGTACATATTTTAGCCAATCAAAACAGCCTTTACATCTCATAACAGCCCATAGTTGAGTATAAAACTAGCACAGTAGTTTGGTCACATTTTGGCCCATTTTTTGGAATCGGCCCAGTCGTTTTTGGCCGCGCAAGTCTGGTTTCGGCCGACCTTTTACGGCCCATTTTTTAAATCATATGTATTTTATATTATTAGTGTATTTTTTTTTAAGATTAATATCTACTATTATATTAGTGTCTATTTGGAAAGGGCTGTTGATTGGTGAATGAATATGCACCACTCAACCCCACCCCCTGAGTATAGCGGGGGAGGTGCATTGACTTTAAACCAAGCCGACCACTGGTAAAATCTTCGCCCTGAGGGGGATATTCAGATAATAACATTCCTGCCTTATGCCCCGGAACAGCGCAGACATCACACGATTCTTTTTTTTTAACCCGCACTCCCCCGGGGGCAAGGGAAGTGGTTACAAATGACTGGTGTATTACAATAATGCACAATAAAAGATCTAAATAGGTCCTTATATTCCACTGATTTAGAAAAAAAATATATATATATATACATGTATATACATGTACATGTATATATCAGAGACATAGATAATATCTATGTCTCTGTATATATACATGTATATACTAAAAAAGTGTTATCTCCAAAAATGAAAATGTTGGTATTTACAAATGGCGTTTGCAAATGGGTACTGTAAATTACAGACGGCGAAGTGTTTGAAAATGGTGTTTTACAAATGGCGTAATTATCCAAACCTCTACTTTGCCAATGGCGTCATGTAAAATTATGAACGAAAAAAAGTAAAAAACAAAGCAAAATAAAATATGTACCAAAAACTCAAATAAAATATGTATGCAAAACTAAAATAAAATATGTATTCAAAACTTAAAAAGAATATGTATGCAAAACTAAAAAAAAGTATGTATTCAAAACTAAAAAATAATGTATGACAAACAAAAAAAAAAAAAAAAATATGTACGAAAAAAAAAAAAAAAGTATCAAAAAAAAAAAAAAATGCAAATGTCACTTTTTTGCCACCGTTCAAAATATTTTAGTACAGAAATCGTCTATTCCTAAAGTTTAAAGATGCTGCGAAAAATATCCCGTTCTGTCAGTCATTTACTTGAAAACTTTTGGTGCAATGTTGAGCTCCATTTTAGATATGTAAGGAATGAAATGAAATGCAGTATATATTTTTCCCCCTACGTAACAACCGTTCGCCATATACTTTTTTAATGGGAAATCTTACATACTTCTTTAGAAAGATGAATTTTTATAATGTTAAAATAATGGTATCAGAGACATGTAAGATGCTTGTTACCTGAACAAAGTAGCGATAAATGTGAAATTATTTGTCATTAAAGTAGTCAAAACAATGTAGTATTTGACTTCCATAATTATAAAACATGTAAACTACTTATCACTATAACAGTACTGTACTCATCATTGTCAAAAAGCAACAGATGAAAAAGATGGTTCAGGTAATTGGCCAATGTGTATTTTTTTGATAATATAAAAGAACATCAAAATAAAAAAGCTGAAGAAAAACAAATAAAAGCATAATGGGCCTTTAAAATGTTATTTTTAAACCTCGGGGAGATCGAGACCCAACATATCCCCTCTATACCCCCAGTGAGAATTTTACATTATTCTGAAGCTCGCTCTTAATGTGCGACTACTTAAATAGTTGATATTTTTGACTGCCTGTACGGACTACTACTTAAAGCCGCATCTTCACCTAGTCAAGTTTCTAATGTGTCACATTTAGCTAAATGTTTGGCTATTTTAAAATATTATCAAGCAAATTTTTTAATGAAATGTCTTACTAAGATTACCCAGAATTTATACCTTTGTCTATGCAAAGGCTATCATATTTCTGTAAAATGTGTAAATAACAAACGGGAAAATGATGCATTTAGCTAAAAACAATGGAGTTAATGAAAGGTGTACATTATTTTAAAATAAATGGAAAAATTTAGAAAAAACATATTTTAAGCTTAATGCTGCATGCCTCCAGATGAGTCAAAATATTTCAATAAAATCAAACTTGAGAAATATGTACTACGATTATAGGAAATGTAAAATGATTCAAGATTCAAGTAATATTTTACATGTTATGTGCGGTTTCAATATTTACAACTATATTCCTACTGCGTTACTAACGCATTAAGGGCTATTTATGCATATATTGACAACTTTTTGGTAATTTACGTAAGTTATAAATGCCATTGATAATGTGAAAATTGCTTCCTTTTGGTTATTCCACAATATTATACATTCAAATGAATTTTCAAAATTTTCATGAAAATTAGCGTGAATCTGGAGGCGTGCTGCATTGATACAAATTCTTTTTTTTGGTGATTTATTTTGTGAAAGTTCTTCACTTACTAATCAAGACCATTTAAATCCCTATTGATTTAGGGCACATGTTTTGTGTCTATTTAATACCTTGATTTTTGTTTACCATTGGCTTTGACTACACTATATAATTTAAAACATAATGAACATAAATTTTCTCTGACCCCAAAGTGCGGTCGTTTGCCTGATGTTGAAAAATGCATATGTACCTGTTTAACGCACTTTGGGGTCGAAATTGGACCCCAAAGTGCGTAACGCACTATGGGGTCCGACCCCAAAGTGCGTAACGCACTTTGGGGTTCGACCCCAAAGTGCGTTTGACCCCAAAGTGCGGTGTTACAGAGCACGATTCTTTCGAGATTATCGTCAAGCGAATTTCAACAAGGGGATTACAATACACACTGTAATACACACAACACAATAACAGATACATTAAAGAAGAACAATATTTTGTATTTGCCGCTACAAACCGTTTTCTTTCAATATAATGCAGCCGGCGTACCCAGGGAGCACACTACCAATAACAACAAGCGTTAGGTTGTTGTCTCCTTAGGCAACTGAGAAGCTACAAGATGTCAAACATATTAAAAAACAAGCGAAAACCGTAGATAGTGTAGAAATCAAAGCACAGAAGGCACTGAATTTGTTTGGGTCTCAGAATGTCAGAAAGGTAAAGGTTGTGTATAGTGCCACCAATGCTTTCCAGCATTTTAATTGGCTATAAGACTAATTGCAACACTGATATAAGATCCAATGTTTATTTGACTTACACAATTTGAAAAAAAATGAGTTGCCTTTACTGGGATTTGAACTCCAGACCTTTCGTTTCCTAAGCAAGCGCGCAAACCCCGCGACCAGGGTGGATTGACATGGTAATGGCCTGAAGAAAACCGTATTATTCTAGTTAGGGTTTGTAACGACGCTAACTGTTGTTTAACACTTGTGTAAATAATCATGGCGCTTTCTATAAGCATGTATATCTATAAAGAATAAAACAATATTAGAAATCTTCGACCATTCGGGTATTATTTTGCTTGAAAATTAATCCGCTTGTCATGTGATCTCCAATAAATTTTTCGGCCTAAGTGTTACATATAAAGGGAAGTAACCGCTTAAAAAAGCGGACTACTTTCGGCACTTGCAATTAACAGCATTAGAGTCTGAAATTTCGCTACCGTTATTTGTTTGGTCTGACGACCCAAACAAATAAAAACAACTGGTAAATTTGATAGATTCTAAGGTTGTTAATTTGAAAACAAAAATTTAATATATAAACACTTGATCACACGATCAACTGACACCAAAAAGTTCTGTGACTTTCTTACAAAAAATAATAAGAGAATTAAATCGGATATAGTTTCTCAGAAAAATGAGCATTTGCATTTTTTTTAAAAAGATGTTAACATTTTCTTCTTAACTTGTACATTATCTTTATTATTTTGTCGGAAAGAAGAATAATAAAATCAAGAATTATGTATTCAGCAATGAATAGAAATGATCATTTTACATCTTTTATGAATGTTTATAAATCTGTAAATAGTTTCCAGATTTTCTTGAGATTTTACACTTCAAAGTGACATACATATTCTCTAACATTGTTAATCTCTGTTTCTGTATTTTCTTACATTCAAACAAATAACCTATCAAGACTGACATACTCTGCATTTAAAAACGAGGCAATTAAACTTTTTCTTTGATCGTTTATTAGTCTCTTATTTTGAACTTTAATACAAATCATTATGTAACCAAGTGATATTCTTTAGGTTTTTTGTTATTTTCTAAGAAAGACTACTCAGTGGACCATGTTTGATTTTATTCTAAACTTTGCATGATTATGTCCCTTTGACCAGTTATCCATGACGTTTCCCTGGTCACCTGAAGTCTCAGAAGTTGCTTCTGTCGGATATGGGTACACATAATTTTTTCTTTGATTTGTTTTGAATTTTGATACAAACACAATATGAAACCAACTGAGATTCTTTAAGTTTACTGTTATTTTTCAAGAAGGACCATTCTGTGGACCATGTTTGATTTTATTCTTAACTGTGCGTGATTGTGTCCCTTTGACCAGTTATCCATTACGTTTCCCTTGTCACCTGAAGTCTTAGAAGTTGTTGAAATTTCTGACATGTATATGTGTTTTACTTACTTTAGATGAATATTTAAATATTTAGCATTGGGTAATTTGTAAGAATAATCAATACGAGTATTTTATACTTTCTAATCCTAATTGATTATGACATTTTACATAATTAAACGTACGGAGGTATTTTGCTCATGGTAATTGTACTAATTTTTTTGCAAGTTTGCTATAAGGAAAAACAAACATGTAGTACGTTTGTTATTAAAGTGATATTATGATCATATTTTCACTGTCTCAATTGACAGCATATTTCTAATGATTGATGTTATTATGATGATTGATTAACAATTGATATTGATTTTTAACTAAAGTGAAAATATCCCTAAAATATAAAAAAAGACTGCCCCAATTTTTATATAAATTGAGCGATACAGGTTAATTCTGATAGATATTTACAGACAGTTCCTTGGGCTATGTGAGTTATTTATCTTTCGTGTGAAATAAATACAACATTGAAAGGCATTATGGAAAATGTAAAGTTATATTGACTCTTACTTGTCTATTCACTATATACACTTGGATGGACAAATATCAGTTTAACAGCCTTTGATTGTATTGCCTTTGTACAGCTTTAAATTATAAAGGAATTTTTAACCCTTACAAGGAAATATTGACTGGGAAAGGATTGAATAAAAACTATATGGTTTTGCTCTTACACCAATTATTTGATGCATTTAAATTATGTTAATCTATAATTTTGAATTGAGCTTGCTACTGTTTTAAAGTTTGGTTATACTTTCTGTTATTCTTGAACTGATTTAATTGTTTGCTGCCATTTATATAAAAATGTAAATACAAGTAAAAAGAAACAAATACACAGTTATAAGGACATCCGAATCATCAGTGTTCTATAATTAAGACTCTTAAGAAGTACAGGACGATAGTTAAGCGTGTCATATAGTTCTATCTATCCTTCGTTGTCCTACATAACTTACCTTATACCTTTGGTCCTGATGACATAAATCAAAATCAAGAGTTCATTGTGATTATTTGTAACCGTGACATGTTATCATTATTGTCATATCACAAATATCTCTGGACTTTGAAACTTAACTTTCGTGATTAATATGACTGTACCTTATATAATAATATTGTAAATTTGTTGCACCAATGTTATATAGATAACGTTTTTGACATGAAAATGTGCCCTTTTAATGTATCCTTATTTGCATACTTTACACGATGTTAAAAGCCAAGCAAAACGTACTATTAAGGCAAGTGTCATTGCGTGCCGGCAGTTTTATGTCAGAATTATTTTTTTACTTCAAAAATTTCAGTTTGATAATTTTTTTATATAATTTTGTTGTTCTTTTTTTCAGTTCGTATAAAAATGTCGTCTGGTTTCATACAATATTTGACTTAATCTCTTGTATTCTTTTTAAATAGATAAAGTAGATAGCAAAATTTAACATTTTCTTTTCAGGAACATTGGCAAGATCACTAGTACTGTAAATAAGTTACAGTTCACCGGAAAAAAACATATTAGAGCAAAGATCAATCATCGATAAAAGCTTGAACATATTGATTCTAAGTAGGATCAACGTTACATGACGCCAAAAGTTTTGGGCTGGAAATGTTAAATCTCGCTACTGTATCTTTACAGAAAAGGGCGATACAAGACATTTAGTACGATTTGCATGACACTATGTGTTATTTTAAGTGACCCAAACAGGACGCCGTACATTTAAGCTATAATATAACTTTGACAACACTAACTCCCTGTGCAAGACATTTGACGGCCATTATAGTGGTAACTTTAAATGGCCATTTCAATTGCCAAGATTAAATTTTTCAGTTGGTCTCCAACTTAATCGGATTCAGCATACCCTAAATAGGTAAAATATACCAAGATTTTGTACTACAAAATGCCTCTAGCATCTCAAAGAGGGCAAATTTCTCAAAATCAGTCATTTCTACCTCACATCTTATTATGACAGATTAACATAATACATGTATATTGTTATTTTAATCTTATATAGCCTTATATAGGGATGATACCAATTAATATATTCGAAATATGCAGATCGTATAATGATAGACTGATAACATATAAAAACACATTGACATCATATATTGTTCAGTTGAATTCACTTAAGGAATCTTCCACATACTATATTCATGAGTGTAGATTGTATAAAGAAAAGTTGGTTCAGTATATTGCTATTTAGGCATAACAACGTTCAGTTTTATCATTATTAGACAGTCAAGGTTTTCCATACTTACGCATTTTAAGTGAGTATATGGATAAGCTAAAGTCAAGCAACTTATCAAGTTTATAGTCCGCATTTATCTTAATGCGTAAATATTTGAACCAAGTGATAACAACGAAATCCGTACTAACAGGTGGTCAGCACGACACATCCGTATTGCTGAGGTCATGTACGCTTGTGTTTAAGTTAATTAATTGAGATCTAGATCGAGCAATGAATTATTTCCCTCTCTTCAACAAGCGTAATGTTGTGAATCGAGTACATCGCCGGTCATGTATCTTTTTTTCAGTAAATCCAATATGCAGAGATCGGCAGCCAGACTAATGCCTACGTCACATTACAAGCGGGGACCGGCCGATATAGAGGGATTGGTGGGACACCGTTGATAATTTGAGATCGGAGAGAAACATTTCAATCATGTCCGGGAAGAAGTAGGCGGTCATTCTCCCTCTGTGGTCAGTTAGGTATTCGGACGGTTTCCGAAGGGTACTCGCCCGGCCACCCGGTGAAAACCCTTGGCGTCTTTTGTCTGGACACCGGTCGATATTCTAAAGGTACCCGGCAGACTACCGTACAATAAATGTCCAGTTGCCTTCCGTTATCTGGCCTGTTTGCAACAATCGTACGGTGACGGTGAAGTATACGTGCGATATCTGGTCGGCTGTCGGACGGTATTTGTATGGCATGCTATCCCATTTTCCGGCCGTTATTCACACCCCCACTTTTGTTGGCAATTTTTCTTGCCTTCTTCTCCTCTGATTTCTCCCCATCCCTCTTTTACTTTCTGTTTTGGAAGGTATATTACACTCTGAAATCAAAGTTTTCCATAAAATATTGTATATGAAACTCGAAAACTTTTTTAAACCTCCATGGACGTGTGTGAAAACTGAGAGAATATATAGAGGATATTTGTTTAGTTCAGTGTAAGATCGGAATATATTTCACCGAGTGAGCACCAAAAGGTATATTTCACGAGTGGCGCAGCCACGAGTGAAATATGAACTTTTGGTGTTCACAAGGTGAAATATATTTCGATCTTACACTAAACTAAACAAATTTTCTTTTTATTATATGCAAAAAAACCTTTTAAAAAGACATTAAACCTAATACTGAATGAAAAGTGCGCCAAAAAATAATACAACGTGACGTCATTTACGACGTCACGTCATTTAGTTTGTTCCCAGTACTATGCACGCTGGTATTTCACTGAAATAAAGTAAGGGTTTAAATTCAAAACAGTGAAATTATCAGTTTTATATCACTGATATATTTCTATAAACCACAGAAAAGCATGTAATATTGTGTGTAATTGAGTTTCTAAATACTCGCCATCAGTTGCCCGTATAGGCGAGTCCTCCAAAAGAGTATTAGATCTAGTCGTTCTAGATGTTGGAGATCAGCGCAAGATACAGATAGCAAGGTGACAAATTTCAGAAAAATGTGGAAAACAAGATCAATTAGGAAGGCGGCGTTCAATGAACGCAACCCCGACACTATCTAGCAACACAGGATGACCAACGTCAAAGAGCCAAGCAGGACCACAAACAATCTTCTCCTTTTTTACCTATCCAAGTGTTTAAGCACTCATACAGGGGACCTCGCTTAAATGTCTCGTCTGAAAGATTACTAGTAATTTAAGTTGGTCATCCCGGAAATCGAACCCACAATGTACAGATTACAAGGCTAGCGATTTAACCGATTCAGCTCTGCACGCTGGGTAATGAAGAATGATTGTGTTATTTATGATTTATCCTTAGGACGTTGGCTTTAAGCCAACTTGAATATACATACCAGAGTACAGTTCAGCCACCGCATCGTTCCTGGACAGTCTGTCAAGCAGTTAAACAGTAATAATCTCTTTCACTTTCGCAAGGTACTGATAACATCTGTACAACGAAAATGAACCTCCACCGTCGTCCGAGAATTGAACACGGGTCAAAGGCTTTACCTGCCTTAAGGTCTGTTTAATAACCCCAACGCTATCCTTTCGGAAATTTTAGGATCATACATGCGACGTACTGCGTCCATCCAGGTCAGTTACCTGCCGAGACGCCTTCGGTGACCGCTCAGATACTGCTCGGAAAACTGGAGGAATATTTGGCGTCCGGGAAGTAAAAATTCTAACCGGTATGTAACCGATAACAAAAGATGTCCGGCCGGGTATCGGATGGTATTTTACCGTGTCTGTTACGTTGCGCTGGCGATGTACCGGATGCCGGAAGAAAATAACTCTGCATCAAAATTCTCCGATTACCCGTACGGTGCCCCACCGGTCACTTGACACCGGAGGGTCACCGGCCGGAGACCTTTAACAAAATTGGCAATTTCAGCCCGTTCAGACATCTGTAATCCATCCAAAGTCAAGAATAGACACTGAAATGAATGACGGTTTGGATGAAATATTAGTTTAAAATAATATAAGTTTCCAAGAAAATTAACACACCTTACATACAATTTATTCATTTCGTATAAAGAAGTACAAAACAATCCATTGCAGCATGCCATTTACTTGCTCAAAGCCCAGGGGGGTCGTTAAGAATAAACCCAATGCCATTATTTAATGGTTGCACATTTAAAAGTTCAATCACACTAAATATGAAATAATAATACTTTTATACATACAAGTGTATTATCATGTTACAATTAACGTAAGTAATAAAAATGATATGAATAAAAATTATCATAATAAAAATACCACTATATAAATGTCTTTTTGTTATTATGTGTTCTTTCTTTTTAAAGTTTATATTTCTATATAATTCCTACCAAAATGAAGTTACGTCAAAGATTATAACGGATATTGACTGTTAAGTACCAATATTTATTATCATCATGTGCTTACTTTTTTACTAAGAATCTCAACATACTTGATACGTTAATAATCACTTGAAATCATAGATAATCATCCCAAGTTTTAACTGCCATTAAAGACGTTAATGCACGGCCAAGTGTATCAAAGATTGTAATACATGGCAGAAGAGTGCCGAAAGGTGATAATCAACCCTGACTAAATAATGCCCATTATGTCCATTCATTTTGAAGGCCGATTATCACCTTCCGGCTCTCTTCTGCCCTGTATTAACCTCTTATTATTGCAAGTTTTCTTCCTTTTAATGTATACCAATGAGCGCAGTTTTTATGCTGAAATATATATTAAAAAGGGCCAATAACTGACAAATTATATAACTACTTAATACGAATGTGTAGTAGAGTTGCCATTGAAAGTATCTAAAGTTAATTGTCACTCCTGGAAGTGTCTGGTTATTTCGAGACTTTCAAATATCGTTGAAATTCAATTAAAGATTTTTTACCATTATTTTTGGGAAATGTCTCAAATATCATCGAAACTCAATTAAAGAATCTTTTAAATAATTCTACACATGATTTGACTATTCTCGCATTTTATTGCACTACCTGATTTGGAATGTGTCTCATCGTCATCACTCTCATTTTTATTTTCAAGATTTTTGGTGATTTCGTCTTTTTCTGGGTTATTCGCTGTTTTATTCATATTAGATTTTGTCTCCTCCCGTGATAGGCTTTTAAGATCGTTACTGTCTCTAAGGAAGTTGTGAAATAATTCTTCTCCAAATATTATGTTCACATTCTTCTTTCCCCTAAGGCTTTCAAACAGCTTGACATTTTTGTAACTTACGTCGATAACATTTTCTAGCTTTTTGTAACGTCCAGAGTCACCTAATTTAAGTTTTGAAGACAAATGTGGACTGTTGTCGTGAACAATGATTACTAGGACTTTCTCAAATATACTTTCTGAAACATACAAAAATAAATGAATAATTACAAAAAAAACACCCAAAACAAGGCACCATGTTTGGAAACTTTGCACTTTAAAGTGATTTCTAAACTGTTTACTTGGACTTGGCTGGGTTGAATGCGATTTATTTTGGTTTTATTGGCGACGGAATGCTTCGTTTTGTCGTTATTATGAACAATTAATGCCATGGCGTGTTAATTAATTTTATTTTGATTCCTAAAAACAAGAAAATAAATGTGTTATTATATTTGTATTTAAACAAAATGTGCATTGTGATATTGATTTTTATTGTCATACTTAAAGACAAATTTCTTTGTGGTCTATATTGGTTGGAATGCACTGGAATTTTCATTTTTTGTTTAGATTTTTTTTTCTGATCTTCACTATTTATTCATTTGGGGGGGATTATGCATTATTCATTGTTTTGTTTTAAAACAGTAACAAATAAAAGCGTAAGACTAGCTGCTGGAAAAGTGCTGGTATATTGTTATATCATACATGATTTTATTATTTGATTATAAATGAAAAATTGAGTAATATTGATACAACAATTTGCATATTAGCATTTTCAGTATTTCACCGTCAAAATATAATTTATATAATTTTCACTGCAGTGCAACATATTTCCGTATCTTCACCTGTGTTTCAAACCACTCAATCACAATTAATCCCATATTAATAGAGAAATGTTTAATATCCCTGTATACTACTATTCTTTTAAAATTAAGTAATATTGAATAATACAAATAACATACATGTATTATGTTTTCCTTATGTTCACCGTAAAAATGTTTATATCATTTTCACTGCAGTGCAACATATTGTCCATATTTTCACTTGTGTTTCATATCACTAAATGACAACTAATCCCATATTTAAAGAGAAATGTTTAATTTCCCTTTATTTTACTGCCCTCTTCATATTATATTATAATTATTATATCATATCATATTATATTATATTGTATTATAGGTGGTTGAATCCCCTAAGAAACAGACAGTTGTCAAGTAAACAAATATCTGTCATCAAGTTTTAATTTAACAAACTAGGCAGAATCCTCTGATATTCGTAGAAAATATGACAACACAAAATAAATATGAAAACGTGTTTTTTTATTGTGTCGCCTTGAAAAAGGCGACATATAGGGGTTACTTTTGTCGGCGGTGTCGGCGTCGTTGTCGTCGTCGGCGGCGTCGTTGTCGGCGTCGTAGTCGTTGTCGGCGTCCCCTAAAGCTTTTCCGGAGCATAAGTCAGTCATTATCAGTTGGATTGACTTCAAACTTGATATGCATGCTTCTTATAATGACCCGAAGTGCAGTGCACAAGAACGGGTACTCTGCACTTCTTATTTTTTGAGTTATTGCTCTTTGATAATTTTCGTACTTTATTTTTGTCCAGGCCATTTCTCATAAATTACAAAAGCTTTAGACTTGAAACTTAATAGGATGATAGATCTTATAGATAAGAAGTGCAGTGCACAGAGACTGCTTCTCTGCATTTCTTATTTTTTGAGTTTTTGCCCTTTGTTGATTTTCAAATTTCATTTTGTCGTGGCCATTTCTCTTAAACTATATTGTTCACAAGGCGACACATCCGACTCGCGGAGTTCTAGTTGTTGATTATGTTTTTTATTTGTATGAATAATGTTAGTGATAGAACTTTTTTGTGGAGGTATGTGCATGAACGAATCAGATCTTCAAGTCAAACAGAAACAAGTTAGAAAAATTGTCGGGCCCAGATCTTGATTTTTTCCCAGTGTTGTTGACGGTTCAAGTTCTTCATTCCGTTTACATTGTCTAATAGTTTATCTAAAAGTTTAGCCCTAGATATATTTATATTGATACATGACAAATTATTTGGCTTAGGCTTTTATAGTTTTCAATATTAAAACTGTTGTCTGATCTACTTTTAAACTATGTCATTTTAGGAATATCTTCGGGCTATATCTTCTAATTCTAAAATTTTGTTTGCAAGTGACTACAGTTCATTCAGTTGTTCCCATGCGTTCATTTACTTACCTCTCATAGAAATATAATGCCGTGTAGCAAGGCAGCCGGAATATATAATGACCAAGATCATGCCAAATAAACCTTGAAATACCCTTTATTTTAATACTATACATAAAATATTCAAAATATTTTTGTTAACTTAAAACTGGTAGGATATCAAAATGCAACAGACGTCGCTGTACACATTGTTTAAAAACAGTTGAATCTTAAATTCATTTACAAGTACCAGCAACACATCTTGTTATGACATAAGGTATTATATGACATGTAAATCATCTGATGTAATAAACTCCATTATATGTAAAAATATCCAAAACAGTGCTGGGCAAACTAGTCAACAATGTTCCGAACATATGAATAGTCATAGTCTTTATATAAAGCATTATCCTGAAACCACTGCAATGTTTTTGAACATTTAAATACCAATGGACTTGGCTTGCCCGGCTATAGACTACAGGTACATAATTATGTAAAAGGAAATCAAATAAAAAAAAGAAAATATATAGATTTCTATGCCTATCAGTGTCATTTCTAGTTGGACGCCGCCATTTTCGATGTTATTCAAAAATAAAAGGTTGGGTATTCTGATAACGGAACAATCGCAACTTTTAGGCTTAATAATAATCATCGAGGTGTTCCGAGTGAAAACGGAAGCGGTGCATCAAATACTGAATTACACCTTTAAAACGGAATTTGTAAAATAAAAATAACCAATTTTTTCTGAATTTGCCGTACATAGGAATTGACTACTTTCAAATTATTTGTCAATTACTCAAAGTGATTTTAGCTCGACTATTCGCAGAATATTCGAGCTAATGTAGTCACTTATTTGTCCGCGTCGGCGTCCCTGTGGTTAAGTTTTTGCGTGTAAACTGGTATCTCCATAACAACTGAAGGGAATGAATTGAAACTTCACACACTTGTTCTCTGTGATTATCTAACATGATTGGCACAAGTCGCATAACTCTGATTTGCTTTTTTGCATAATTAGGCCCCTTTTTCGACTTAGAAATTCTTGGTTAAGTTTTTGCGTGTAAGTGGTTTTTTCCATAACTACTGACGGGAATGGATTGAAACTTCATACAATTGTTCTCTGTGATTTTCTAAGATTGTGGGCACAAGTCCCATAACTCTAATTTGCTGTTTTGCATAATTATGCCCCAAATTTTCGACTTGGAAATTATTGGTTAATTTTTGCGTGTAAGCTGGTATCTCCATGATTACTAAAGGGAAATGGATTAAAACTTAACACACTTGTTCTCTGTGATTATCTTAGATGGTTTGCACAAGTTCCATAACTCTGATTGCTTTTATGCATAATTAGGCCCCTTTTTCGACTTAGAAATTCTTGGTTAATCTTTGCGTGTCAGCAAGTATTTCCATAACTACTGATGGGAATGGAATGAAATTTTACACACTTGTTCTCTGTGATTATCTAACATGATCGGCACAAGTCCCATACCTCTGATTTTTTTTCATAATTATGCACCCTTTTCGACGTAGAAATTCTAGGTAAAGTTTTTGCTTGTAAGCTGGTATCTCCATAACTACTGAAGGGTTTGTGCCCCTTTTTTTTTGGAACAATTTTATGCATTTATAACAATAAAGCAGTGATAAGCTCGACAAAACATCTTAAAAACAAGCCTTTGTACCTTTTTCGGACAATGTTATGTATTCATATAGGTAAGCATTATTATACTTAATGAAACACACTTGTGACAACTTTTCGAATGGTCGAGCGTTACTGTCCTCCGACAGTCCTTGTTGTATATATCTTAGTCAGTTTTACTTGTGTTTTTACTAAACGTTATACATAAAGTATTAAGATTTTAGCAGGGTATTATTTCTATATTTTCTATAATGCGCGCTAACATTTGTGCATGATCACTATTGGACTATAGGTGATACGCGTTCAATGATGACATAAGCCATCCACAAAGTTTTGCTACTGTTCCAGTAAATTGGACTTCATATTCAAGTACAATAAATTTTAATGATATTCGTCTTCATTTATTATTATTACTAACAACAGATAAAAGAAAACAAACTTGGATGGATTGATACATTCGCGAATAAAAAAATTCAGCAAAATTATCAATTGAATCTTGCTATTTTTATTTAAAAAAAAACAACAAGGAGTCAAGTTAAGTATCAATAGGTCACAGTGTACTGAAGTAATTGAGACGAAGCAGAAATTTTTTTTGTAAGCAAGTGACCTTGATTTTGCTCCTAGATATCTAAGTAGCCATCCCAAGCTGCATCGTAATATAAGCTACCAACACAGCAAGTTTTGGTGTCAATAGATCTCAGCAAATTGAAGAATCTATATGGAAACTGAATTTTTATTTTTGGCAAAGTTGACCTTGATTTTGTGCACAGACACCTAGGGAGCATTTCCGTGTTTTGTCTTAATATAAGCCGCACACATACTAAATTTGGTGTCAGAAAGTCGAATGAAACTTAAGTTATAATGCAGACTTAATTTCTTTCTTAAGCAAAAGTGACATTGATCACAGACAGACATTTGATAGCAAACCCGAGTTCATCTTGATTTAAGCTACCCACACATCAAACTTACTGTGTATAGTTCACAGATAATTCAAGGAAATTGAATTTCTATTTTCAGCAACAGAGACTTTGACCTTAATCATAGTCAAGTGGGTAGTTATCCCAGGAGTGCTTTGATAAACGTTACCTATAAATCAAGTTTGGTGTCAACAGGTAAAAGCAAACTAAAGTTATTGAGCGGGAACTTATTCAAAATTGAAGCAAAACTGACCTTGACCTTTATCACAGAATATAATATGATAAACAAGATCGACAAGGAAAGGCGGCATTCAATGAACGCAGCCCCCACCCGACCCAGCGGCAAGGAGCCCAGGAGGACCCCAAAGAAAAACAGGACAGGGCACAAGGCAGAGCACGGGCAGGCAAACCACTTCTTCAGAATACATATTTAGTAACTGATAAGGAACTAAACGAAAACA